ATAATTAAAATTCCACATCTGAGAAATGAGATTATACTCAACTGGAGAAATGCATTCCTGTCTCATTTGGATCATTTTTATTAGCTTTATTATTTACAAATGAGCCAAGATGGTTTGTCTCCAAGTACAGGTAATCCTCGACTTACAAGAGTTCATTTAGTGACTGTTCAAAGTTACAACAGCACTTGTATACTGTTTTTCTCTAATTTTTCTCTTTAAAAATAGGATAAGCCAAATACATTAACATATAGTGGAAATACACCGAAGGGAGGAGGAGTAGGAAAGAAGAAAGATGGGGAGAGAGGGATGGGAGAGAGGGTGGGGGGGAAGGCGAAAGGGAAGTGGGGGAGCGGATCTGGAGAGAGGAGTGGTAGAGGGCGAGGGGAAGTAGGGTAGAGGGGGATGATGGAGGGAAGATAGAAAGTTGGATGGTGGTGGAAGAAAGAGGTGTATGGAGGATGGAAGAGGTATATTGGGCTTTTATTTTCTGGGGCATTGTCGACAAGAGGAATTGATGCAATTACTGTTTAATACTGTGTGGGGTATACATGTGAGTGTATGAAAATGAAAATGAAAAAAAAAATCTTCATGAATGACTTAGATGAGGGAATAGAAGGGGAACTCATCAAATTTGCAGATGAAACTAAGCTGGCAGGAACAGTTAACAAACCAGAAGACAAAATCAGGATCCAAAAAAATCTTGAAAGACTTAAACAATGGATCCCCCCCCCCAAAAAAAAATGTGTAGAAAAGCAAGGTTTTACACTTGGGCAGGAAAAATCAAAGATAGAAGTACAGATTAGGTGAAACCTGTCTTGAAAACAGTCACTGGGAGAGGGACCTTGGAGTCCTAGTGGACGATCACTTAAACATGAGCCAGCAGTATGCTGCAGCAGCCAAAAAAGCTAAAATAACCTTTGGTTGTATAAACAGAAGCATAGACTCAAAATCACATGAAGTAATAGTACCACTTTATAAATCCTTAATAAACCCACATCTGGAATACTGCATCCAGTGTTGGTCACCACATCACAAAAAAGATGTTGAGTCTGGAAAAAGTGCAAAGAAGAGCAACTAAAATGATTAAAGGCCTGGAAACTAAAACATATGAAGAACAATTACAAGATTTGGGTTTGGCTAATCTAGAGAAAAGAAGGACTAGGAGGGACATTCCAGGATTTGAGAGGTTGCCAGAAAGAGGAGAGGGTCAATTTATGTATGAAAACACCAGAAGACAAGACAAGAAACAATTGATGGAAACTAATCAAAGAGGGAATCAATTAAGGAAAACTTCCTAACAGTGAGGACAATTAATCAGTGGAATAATTTACCGTCAGAAGTTGTGGGATTTTTTAAAGAAAAGACTGGACAGTCCCTTATCTAAAATGGTATAGGTAGGTTCTCCTGCTTGAGCAGGATGTTGAACTAGAAGACCTCCAAGGTCCCTTCCAGCTCTAGTCTGCTTGATTGATTGAAGATGGGCTTGAGATTTTATTACTAATACAATATTTTATTATTACTACATGACTAAAAGGTTACATTGAATCTCTCTGTTTGTAGGAATGCATTGGCGATGATGTGAAATACAAATATTGTCTGCTTTAGTCCAAGCTGCAGGATTTACATTTTAAAACAGTTCAGTTTATGAACAGGAAAACAGAAATTTGAAAAAGAAAAAAACTTTGTGCTCCACTTTCAAATTGTAAATCTATAAATACTAGTAATATATGAGGAAGGAGTATTACACGTTTGCCTCCTTGAGTATTTTAAAAAGGGTGGGATAAATATTTTAAAAATGCTGATTTCCTCTTGAATTCCAGTTAGGAAATAAATCCACAAATCCTACAAGACACTTATTTCCTCTGCTGTCACTGTGGTTATGCAAGCAAGGTCTGAAGCAATCTGTACTATATAGTTGAACTGGTATAGCTAACATTTACTAAATTTATTAAATTATCCGATCCTATGGCAGCAGATTCTGTTACGTTAATTCTGTAATGTTTTCGGGGGTGGGTGGAACGGGACCAACTGAGGGAGGATTCTCACTCAGCTGCCTCTGCCGCTCCACCACACGCTCCTTGGGACCAAGTAAACAGGCCTCCTCCTATTTTCCACTGGGTTAATCAGCCGGCACTAGGACCAGGAAAAGGGTTTCTCTGATCCTTTTTAACGAGTCCGGTTCTCTTGTCAAGACTTTTTGTTGCCCGGGCACGTTTTTCAAATAGTTTCTTGCAGTCTTTGATGTTCAATTGGCAAGGAGGAAGGGCAGGATACCTCCTGCCTTTTGAGAGAGAGATTTCGCTAATCTTAGAAACGTAGAGACCACAATCCTTAAAGGATACTGGGATATTTTTTTTCTTTTTTTTTTGCCATCCTAGCTCAGGCCGCTGTTTTACACGTCGACGGAATTGATGCTGCTTGGCTGGAGTCCTCTAGGCCGCCTCTGTTTTAGCAAAGCGCCTCCTCCGGCCCGTTCTTTCCCCACCCTCTCATCGTAGCGTGCAACCTCGAAGTGCAGCTTTTTTTCTCCCTTTTGCACAATTGTGCCATCGGGGAAGATCATGAATGTGTTATGCCTTATCTTCGCCTTGAGTTCTTGGGGGGTTCACACCTTGGGAGACCCCGGCCCCTTAGAGGATGTTGTCATTGATAGATACTACATCCCCAAAGTGTGCTTGCGAGAAGTTCAGATGGGTGACTTCGTCCGCTACCATTACAATGGGACCTTTCAAGACGGCACCAAGTTTGACTCCAGGTACTAGCTCGCTCGGTAAATCCAGAACAACTGTCCGAGGGAAAAGTCAGGGCTGTTTTTTAAAACTGCTTATTTTTTTGTCGAGATAAGGGATAGGTATGCGATGGTCAGGAACAATGCCGTGGAATCAGTATTAGCCCCATTAAATCTGAATTCCAAAAGATTAAGTATATTACTTATTAGTAGAATTCGAAGGAAAAAAGTTTCCCATAAATTGCAATGGAAAAACAAAAAAGTTACATTTTATTCTTCCATTTTGCAGAGTATTACTGAAATATTAAGTTCGGGGGGGGGGGAGACCCGAAAAAACGGAAAGAAGGCCACACCCTCTCTCTCTCTCTCTCTCTTTGAGAATTTGTATCTTGGGGCTTTGATAAAGAAATTCGGCATTGCTGACCATTCACATCACTTCTATGTGACTGCACAGCATTTGTGTTGCAGTAGACAAAGCATGGAGGAATGTTATTGGGTTAATTTTATAAATCCCCAGTTCTGAATGAGATAGAAGGTGGGACTGGCTTGGGAACCAGATATTTGAGTGAAGGAGGGATAAGATGGACTCCTGTCTTATAGTGGGTTGAGATGCCAATGCAAAATGGTGGAGAATTCAATGTGGTGAACTTTTTAAAATGTGTTTAAATCTACTAGCTTAAATAGGTGGTGAAATGTTAACATGTCATATGATTGTCCACCATATCTTGAAGTTTACTTTTTGACCAGAATATTAGAAAAGGTTTGTTCCTTATTGAACAACTAGATAAAAGCTGTCTATGCATGTTTCCTTTTATCTCTGCAAATAAAATAATGAAGAGATTTGAAAAGGGAAACACTCTGAGAACTTCAGTTTTTTAAAAAGTTTTTTTCTTTTTCTTTCTTTTTTTCGTATCTATTATAATTTTGCACCAGTGAGGTTAAAACCAATTTCGTTGTATTTAAGTACAATGACAATAAAGATTATACTTATACTTATTATAATGACATCTACTATTCATGTCAAACTATGTTTGCTCTAGATTTTAATGTGGAAACTTTATATTTAATTATTTTCACAATTATTCCTTTTAGAAAATGGATTTAAGTTAGGATTCCACCATGCATTAATCACTGTTATTGACTCCCTCAATATCTGGTTGTCCAATGGCATTATTCTGTTAAACATCTATACAGAAAATGTTCCCATTAAATTTAATGAGATTTACTAACGGAGAAATGGAAACAGGGTTTAATTCTGCATCTGCCATAAAATTACAATTCATTCAACATCTGAGAAACTTGAGATCAGGGTTTCTGGCCATAATTTGCATGATTTTTTGCCCTAGAACCTCATATTAAACACATGTATTTGTGCTGCCTGAGATTTCTGAATATGCAGCAAACTTTCTCTAATTCCATGCTTTCCATTTGTATTTGACTACAACTCTTATCATTCCTATGCCAGTAAAATTACCCCAGTGGCACCTGAATGGGAAAACTAAGGGAAAGGCTTCTATTAGTTATATTGGCTAAGAGCCATTGATTAGCTGGTCTTCCACTAAGACTTTTTTCAACAAGTATTTATGTAAGCATTCTTTCAGTAGATCAATCCAACATTAAAATAATATTCATAATAACCCCACAAAATAAAGTACCATGCCTTTAACTATGCCAAAATATTGAAAATAAATTCTTTTGCAGTAGCTGGATATAATTAGATGTTAGTTCAGCATCTGTGAGTGTACTATAACTTTCACTTATACTATAGTATTCAAATGTATTACAACATTTCAATGTTTCCTTCAAGTGTTAAATATTATTGCCCTTAATATTTAGTTTTGATTTTCAGCTTGACGGGTCCACAGACTATTTAAAAGAAAGAGACAGTGGGTTGCAAAGGGATGCCAAAGAGATAGCGTCTGTAATGGGATCTGCAATTTTGGCTGTAGACGTGTCACCTCATGAAACCATAACAGCCATCATTTTGAATGGCTGGATTTTGCAAGCTAAAATTCCATTCCTATTCCAAATACATGAAGTAGGCTGCAAGCCATATAAAACGCATGCCAGTTTATGCCTGCTTTAAATTTTCAGAATATTTTTTGGTAAGGAAAATTCAGTCCTAGTTTAAACTGCAAATTTGGAAAGGCCGTAGTGACTTAGCTGCATTCGGAATGTAAGATTCTGCTGTTCCACTCTGAGCAAAGGAAGCTAGAGATCATGTTTCATTTTCTTCTTTCTGTGCTAGGAAAAAAATGGATCACTTTAGAACGAAAGATTTGCAGAATTGCTTTCTTACTAAAACATCCATCCATGATCTGGATAAGTAATTAGGTTGAGATACAACTTTGTTAAACAGATGGATTCTGCTTTTCCAGCATGACAATAATTATAGTAGATCTGTACTAAAATATTCAACTGCATCATTACTTCAAGAGGGAATGTTTAACCCAGAGGCATCCAACTTTGGCAACTTTAAGACTTGTGGACTTCAACTCCCAGAATTCCCTACCTACCCATTTAAAGTCTACAAATCTTAAAGTTGCCAAGGATGAACATCCCTGGTTTAGTCAATCCATTCTGTGCATGGATGATCACTGTGACTTATTATTATACTTGCTTTTTTGCATATTAAGTGAATTATAAAGTAAATTATGGCCATAGGACCTTTACTTGCTGATTTCTCCAGCTCCTTTTCTTCCTATTTTTCCCACAATTATTTAGATTTGCATGGATACTATCCTAAATCTGAAACAATACAAATAAGATAGATGGAAAAAATCCTGTTGTGGGTAGAACCTTCTAATGAGTCAAGCATACCGTTCAAAGGGAACAAAAGACTCATTTGCAGTATTCAGGTTTAGTTGATATTCTATATAAATTGTATTGATTTCAATGGTAGGCTGGGCTGAGATAGAGAAACTGGCTACCTCTAGCAAACTTTATGATCAAATGAAAACGTGACTCTTGGTCTTCTTAGTAAAGACTGATAAGATTGAGCAGCTGAAGGTTTTAGGAATCCTCACATTCAGTGATTTTTTTCATCATTAAATCTGGGTGAGGTAACATTGGGGCTCCTCCTGAACTCAACAGTTCTTGCTCAAGGAGCACAAACTCAAAGTAGACTCTTTGCACACTTGTACTCCTAGATAGGGGGGTACGGCTTATGTCACTCATGCCATAATTGGAAAAGTGCAATACATCCTGAATAACATTCAGAAACTGGTCCAGATGCAACACTGAAATACGTGCAATATAGTGCATGTTGAGAGATATGTCCACACAACACACTGCTGCATGAATTGAACTGGTTTCTATAGGCAATTCATGGTTTTGGGTTCTTGGCTTAGATTTTTCTTTAATTGATTTGTAAATTTGTGTGATGTTATTTGTTCACCACCCAGAATTCCACTGGTACTTAACTATTATAGAAATTTGTCTGATAAATAAATGTACGTTTTATACTTCATTGACTCTCTAAGCTGCTACATTTTGTTACTGATTAGTGATCAATTTAGAACAATTGTCTAATGATTTATTCTTTAATGTTCACTCTTTCTGATAATAGTTTCTTCTTTCTCCAGCTATGACCGTGGTGCTACTGTGGTAGGTATCGCAGGTGTGGGACGACTCATCACTGGCATGGACAGGGGCCTGCAGGGCATGTGTGTGAATGAGAGGAGGCATCTCATTGTGCCACCACACCTTGGCTATGGCAGCATCGGTGTTGGTGAGTATCAAACTCTGATGTTGACTGGAAAGGAAAGATAATGACAACGAACTTTGCTTACAGATCTAAGTTAGAAAGTTGCTTCTCAAACACAATTACAAATATGCATAGTATTTTCCAGATTTCTTTTTTCCTCTCCATGCCATATATTTTCACCCATAATTGTTTTTTTCCACCATTTTCTTTGCGAATATCTTCTAGCTATATAATAATATGGAAAGATATAATGCTGTGTAAGGACAATGTACATGGTATTCTCCTGGTCTCCATTATAGTGTATCTTATTTTCAAATCCTTAGCTGGTCTCATCCCACCAGACACCACCCTCTATTTTGATGTCATCTTGCTTGACATTTGGAACAAAGAAGACAAGTTGCAGATCACCATCCTCCACAAGTCACAACAATGTAATCGCACAGTGGAGAATTCAGATTTTGTGCGTTACTACTACAACGGCACACTTCTGGATGGAACCCCCTTTGATTCAAGGTAAGAAATTCTAAAGCATAGAGAGCAATTTCTCGACAGCTAAGAATCAAATGTTTATTTAAAAAAATCAATTAATGGCCACAATATGATGAGATGATATCACAAGGGGCCATGATCTATGTGGTTCTACTGAAAGAAGTTTGCAGGCTACACTAAATCATGTGTCACTTGCGAACTTCTTTCAGTTGCCTACTTTGGTGCTAACATATTACTGGTGACTTGGTTCAGACAAAAAAAAATATATCCAAGAAAACAATTTCCATAATCAACTCAACAATTTCATTTTTTTCAGAGTAGGAGCAGCAATGCCCAAACAACTATACAGTTGCAGTTGCAGAAGAAGCAGACATTCCCAGTCCAAGAAAATTAAGTTGATTGACCAAAATGTTGTAACCTTTTAACTCAGTTACAGTTAGAAAGCAGAGACCTTTTTGCAAAGTCATTAATTTCTACCTAATTACAACAGGGTCTAATAAGATTAGACAGATATCAATATTTCATCTTGAGTGATTATTTATTGCCAGAGGCATCCAAATTTCTTTCTCTTTTAAGGTACTGTATTGGACCACTGCTGGCTGCTCAGTTTTCCTTCATTCCCTGAGCTGCTTCATCTACCTAGTATTCGATGTGTTTTTTTTCTCCATCCTCTCTTGCTTCCTAGCTATGGAAAAGACAATACTTATGACACCTATGTGGGTTCAGGCTGGCTAATCAAAGGTATGGACGAAGGCTTGCTAGGGATGTGTCCTGGAGAGAAGCGGCAAATAGTCATGCCTCCTTTCCTGGCCTATGGAGAGAAAGGCTATGGTAAGCTGGTGATGAAATTCACGTATTTCTTCTGCATCAAGAGATGGTCCTCTTCTTTTGCTATCAAATCCTGATTCACAAAAATATGCAGATCTACTAATTTGGACTTCACAGATAATTTATTTTGTGTGCTTAAAAAGCAACCACTTTATGTGGAGAAGTAGGCCTTTATAGGGTGAGGATTGTGGCTGTTAGCTCTACTCTTACATAGGACCCTTTGTAGTTTTGGGATTCCCTAGTCACTCTTCTTACCCTTCCAGCATCTAGTTATTTAGGGACTGCAGATCTCAGAATCCCCAGTTGGGTAGGAGAAATATGTGGATTATGTACAGTATTAGGATAGGTTCGGGTTTTTAAAATTTGTTTGTTTGTTTTACACCAAGTGCTGCTAGCTAATGAATTAAGATTTGCAACTGGGCATTTTTTAAACGAATGTCAAAATCTATTCCCACAAACATACCATCTTTTGTATTCCTCCAGAGTGAATGCCCACAAATAGCAAACACATATACAGCATACTGTGTCACCCAGCTTAATAGCATTGTTATCACCTCATCTGGCTCAATTCATATCTGTGCCAGCCTGAGCTGAGTCCTTTCTTTCTTTCAGGTACGGTCATCCCCCCAGAAGCATCTTTGGTTTTTTATGTTCTTCTGGTGGACTTGCACAATCCAAAAGATAGTATCTTCTTGGAGCACTTGGAAGTGCCAGCATCATGCAGACGCAAGGCTGTGACTGGAGATTTTGTGCGGTACCATTATAATGGCACTTTAATGGATGGGACCCTCTTCGATTCCAGGTGAAGAAAATATTCTGCAGAATCAGTTTCAAAATCTGATGATTACATGCCCACACACTCTTTGTGGCATGGAAGTGACTAGCTTTTTCCAGCCTGGTTCCTTGATGTTTCTTTTATTTATTCAAATGTATTATCCCCCAACTCCAATGGATTCTAAGTAGTGTACAGAATTGGAGAATCAAGAAAATTAGATAAAATAACAAATTCAAGAAATAGTCCAGATAGAAAGGATCTTATAAACAATACAAATAAACAAGAGCACCAGAAATATAATAATACATATAAACCCCAGGCTTGGGACCAAAAACAGGTTGTAAGAACTTTCCAGAAGTTGCAGGAGCAACCTTCAGCCTTCATTCTGAATCCTAACCAGCCTTTTAGACATCAGCAATTGGCTGATAGAAAGGTAGAAATGAAAATGAAATGAAAAAAGATCTTCGAATTGAAATTTACCTTGAAAAATACACCATCAGACAAGAAAATAAGTTGCATAGAGGCACAATAGATTTGAAAGCCACAACTAGCATAGAGAGGTGATAGATTTCAGTCAAGGGACATTACCCAGCATGAGCTGCTTTCTTAAAATTGGATGTTCAAAGTAGGGTTTTGCCATAAAATTAGGTGTTCAACTGGGTGAGGATGACTGAAGTTGTACCTCTTGCTAGAATTAGGGGTTCCTGATACTTTCTGGCAGAATCCTTACAGCAACTGGGTACATGTGGCAGAATATTTGATGCCATCACAACCTTATGCAAATAGCACTACAAATATTGCTATCCCATATATTAGATTCTGGCCTGAATAAAACAGCATATGTTTACATTATGCAAGATAGAAAGGACCAGTTCATGTCAGCCTTTGCTAAGGTATCATATTTATACAATTTAAATTATCATCCACAAAGGGGAAGTACCAGTAAGAGCAACCAGAACAGCATAAACTGCTAAACCAAAATCCTGGTGAATTATTTTACCATGCCATACAAATAAAAATACTTAATAAGAAAGTGTTCCCTATAGGTTGCTCCTTTTTTATCTTCATAAATCCAGAGCAGTACATTCAGAAGATCAATATAGCCAGAAATGACTATTCAGGCAGGTTTTTCCAGATACAGACCAAAGGAAAAAAATTATTGTTGGGGAGCAAGAAGTAGAAATCATCTGCTTGTTGAAATCCTATTTGAATTTGATTTAAAAAATGGTAGGGGATGAGAGGCTTCCCTATCTTTTATCTTATTACTTAAGCCAGATTTGTGCAACTTGTGATCTTCCTTTCCTTATTCAGGTGAACTTTATTTAAATGAGCTTAGACAGTTTGCGCAGTCTAGCTGAGAGTGAGCAATGGGTTTTTCTGTTAGCAACAGTCAGTTCTTCCTCACAATTTATTTTCCCTTTCAATTCCAGTTATTCACGGAATCATACTTATGACACTTACATTGGAAAAGGCTATATCATCCCTGGAATGGATCAAGGACTACAAGGGGTCTGCATTGGTGAAAGAAGACGAATAAAAATTCCTCCCCACCTAGCCTATGGAGAAAGTGGGGCAGGTAGGTAGCAAGGAAATTGGGGAAAGCTTTAGTGTAATTATAATAAACATTTATATATGTATAAACACACATTACTTTCCAAATGTGTTGGATTTAAGCTCTTGTAACTCCCATGCCCATTGTACAATATAACCTGTATAATCCAAACACAACTAGAGAGATCTGCTGGTATTTTCTTTTTGATCAGACACAGTAATCTGTATCTGTAAGATATAATTATATCATGAGTATAAATTAGGCACTCTTAAATATGGCCAAGAGTTCCCTATAAATCTGGAAGTGCAGATTTTAAGATGTCTTGAGGTAGCTATGTGGCTCAATCATTGTATGGTTACTTGGGATATCCAGACAGATGAGCCATTGGGAATAAAGTCTGGAGATTCTCAGTCATCTGGTCATAGTTGTCTCAAAAGCAATTTTTTTAAAAAGCAGCTAGATTGTCCACAAGGGAAAAAACAGTCCCATTGCCTTTGAAACATTGGCAATAAGCTATTATGACACTTGGAATGCAAATATACTTGTAAACTTAAGATAAATGTTCAGCTTTTTGCAGTATTTCGTTTTCTATTTCTCTGGGTTGTGCCACTTTAAAGAACATATTTTACCTGACCTGGAAATAAATCCAGGTTGTTTGTGCTGTATGGCTCATAATCAAGTTATTTTATAGGCCATTGATTTATTTCATTGGAGTGGAGTCACACTTTTCCTCTGGGAAATTAGGGTGGCATGTATAGCACTCCATTCTCTTAAATTTTTCACCTCCAAAATTACCGGGCCCATTTTTTGCAAAAACGGGACATGCAGAGGGTTTGGGAGGCTTGTAGAGTGCTCCTGGGGGCTGGGGAGGGCAAAAATAAGCAAGAAATGGCCCAATTTCTGCAAAAAATGGGGCATGCAGAGAGTTTGGAAGGCCTGCGGAGTGCTCCTGGGGGCTTGGGAGGGCAAAATAACCCCAGTTTTTGTGAAAAATGGGCCTGTTTTCACTCGTTTTTGTCCTTCCCAGCCCCCACAAGCACTCTACAGGCCTCCCAAACCCTCTGCACACTTCATTTTTGTGAAAAACGGGATGCAAGGGATGAGGTTTCGGGAGGCCAACAATGCTGTATTCAGTGTATCAGATGCACCCAGATTTCCACCCTCTTTTTTTGGGGGGGGGGAGGAAGAAAGGTGTGTCTTATAGTCCGAAAAATACAGTATCTAAATTAAATTGAACAGAGAATGTCCCAAAGTAACCGAGTTTCTGTGACAGAGGATAGATACAGTATACACTTTTAACTCCTAATCAACTTATCTTCTGCATCACAAGGGCTGTCCTATAAAGTATTAACAGAGTGGTACTAATTAAGGTCTAGTTACCCTAACACCTATTCTCTCACTTTCCCTTATGGTAGAGTTAGCTCTGCTCTTCTTTTTCTTGCAACCTTAAACACTCAAAGATCCATTTGGACCTATTTCCCACAGAAAACTCTGGGAGCCACAAAACCTGGGTGGGTGTGGCTAACTCGACGTCATTCACTCCCACCCAGTCACATGATCCCCTAGCCACACTACCCAGCTGGTCATTATGACCATTAAGAACCAGTTGTTAAAAAACGCTGGGAATCACAAAACCCTTTTGACATCTCTGTCTCTTTCTCTTTCTCCCCCACTGTGTGTCTCTCCCCCCCCCTCGTCTCTCTCTCTCTCCCTGTCTCTCTCCTCTGTATCTCTCCACCTCTCTCCCCCTTTCTCTGTCTCTCTCTCCTCTCTCTCTGTGTCTGTCTCTCTCCCCCTCTTGTCTCTCTCCCCCTCTCTTGTCTCTCTCTCTCTTCCCCACCTCTCTGTATGTATGTTTCTATCTGTCTGTCTGTCTCTCTCTCGGAAAGCCGAGGCTGGGCCAACTCAGTGAGCTCTCCTTGGGGCTCTTTGCTACTCCTTTTCTTTCTTATTGCAACTGAGAAACAAGCGCGAGGCGCAACGGAGATATTCCTTCAGATGATCCTCCACCTCCTCTCATGGTTCCCTGGCCGGCTGTGTGCATGAACAAGGAGACCTTCCTCAAGCAAGCAGTTGGAATCAGCCAGAGTGCAGCCAAGGTGTGTGCAGGGTGGCCACTTGCTTGAGAAGGGTCTCCCCACTCACGCGCACCCTCACAGCCCTGCCACAGCAGGCCAGGGGGGTCATGAGAGGAGGAGAGGGTCATCCGAAGGGAAGCCTCTGCTGAGGCTCACGCTTGTTCCTTAGCCTGCCCGGATTTCCAAAAAATTGTTAAGAAGCTTGCTGGGTTGGCCCAGCTTCGGCTTTCTGAGAGAATAGACAAGGAGAAAGGAAGGAAGGAAGGAAGATAGGAAGGAAGGAAGGAAGGAAGGAAGGAAAGAAAGAAAGAAAGAGATAGATAGATACAGATATATAGAGAGATAAAAAGTGGGGGAGACTGGCTGACGTGCGAGCATCTTTGGCAAGGGTGCTCTAGCTTTTTCCAAGTCTGATCCCCGGGGTGGGTGGGTGAGGTTCGGTGGTGCCAGTTCCTTTTCCTGCTCCTCTTACTCTTCCAGTGGCATGGTGCCACCGCCGGCTTTCATTGAAAAACATCCTCCAGGAGGCAAAAGTTCCCCATGCAAGTTTTAATGTGGTAGCTGGGCACTGTGGGCCCATCCCCCTTTCCGCTGTCCCATCCTCCTGGATCCCATTCCCACCCCGCCAGCTCTCATGTTAGCAAGGCCGGCATCGGTCACAGTCGGGGCGGCCCATTGTCTCAGGGCGGAGAGCAGGTTGCTCCTCTCCTCAAGCTATTGAGGCATGCCCAGCACCAACAAGGGGTGAAAGAAGCCCCAGCAAGTGAGATGCCAGAGAATCAGCCCCAGCTGCTTCTCCATCACCTGCCATCGCCCTTACCTTCTCAGGGCAGGCGAGGAGTGACTGGGAGGGGACAGCGAGTGGCGGGGACAGCCAGTGTTGGGATCATCCACAGCAGAGGGCCCAAAGTGCTGGGTGTGCCTCACATGAGGCTCCAGAGCCACGGGTTGCCGACACCCGGACTAGAGCAACCCTGAGGTACAACAGATCCTGCATAAAATGTGAAAGTGTCCAGTCTCTACAATTTACTTGATTCCTGCCAAGGATACTTTGCATTCCATGATAGGTAATACTAATTTAGTGTAGAAAAAGTTTTCAGAGGACATAAAGTTCAAAATTCAGTGGGCTAGATTGTGAAACCAAAGCAGAAGAAATGGCTGACTTTATTCTTCATGGTGATAAGTTTGATTCTGTCTTCATGCAGTATGCGAACCTACCAATTCTTGTTAGATCACAGTTTGTCTCAACATGGTGTGTATACCTTGATATCATAGCTTGTTCAACAAAGCAATGATTAAAACAAACTATGGGTTAACATACCATATTTTTCAAACTATAAGATGCACCAGAGTATAAGGCACACAAAGATTTCGAAGAGAAAAAAATATTTTTGCCCTCTCTGGCCCCCAGGAGCACTCTGTAGGCCTTCCAAATCCTCTGCACATCCCATCCCAGGGCAGGGTTTCGGGAGGCCAAAAATGGCTGTATTCGATGTATAAGACGCACCAACATTTTCACCCTCTTTTTGGGGGGGGGCGGGGGAACGTACATCTTATACTCTGAAAAGTACAGTATATAAATACAGGGAATAGATGAATGGACAGTGTTGCCTCATGTACTGTTTGAAACTTTTTGGAACCCATGTTCCTGGAAATCAACAGCAAAATATTTTTGGTCAGCCAAGTTCCACAGAAAACCTACATATGTATTCTTCTTCTCATTCTTTCTTGCATTCTTTTGTATTTCAGGGAACAAGATACCAGGCTCAGCTGTACTTATATTTGATGTCCATGTCGTTGATTTCCACAACCCCACAGATTCCGTAGAGATAGAGACCATCTTCCGCCCTGTAGACTGTAACGTCACTGCTCAGGATAGAGACTTTGTTCGCTATCATTATAACTGCTCACTTCTGGATGGCACCAAGCTTTTCTCCTCGTAAGTTCCTAGCTCCAAGTTTATTTCAGTTAAATATCTAAACTGTCTCTACAAAAATGCCAAAGTGGAAATATTGAACAAATATACAACATAGGGCTTTTTTACCTGTATGAACTAAACGTAACACTCCTGATTTGAATTCATTTTTCACCATCAAAAATTGACCCCTGTCTATCTCAAAATCACTGTATAAACCTGAAAACATTAGAACGTATAAATTACAAAAATAGTTGTTTAAGATATTTCTTTCTTTCTTTTTTAAAGATATTTCTTTCATGGGCTGTTTTGTGAGAATACCACAACTTTGTCAGTGTTCCACATTGCTTTAGGTACCCTTCTAAGGCAAAATAATATTGGCTAAATAAGGAGATAAAGTAATTTGCATAATCAATACAGTTGCAGAATTTAGACTACTTAAATCTAGAATTCTACAGAAAAAGTTTTGGAGAGCCAATAGGGGATAGAACACGTATTCTGAAAATCCAACAAAGTATTTTCAAAAGGACTCAATGGGTTGTTTCCCACTAACAGGCATGATTATGAACATCCTCAAGAAGCTACCCTGGGTACCAGTAAAATAATTGAAGGCTTGAACAATGGCCTACTGAGCATGTGTGTGGGAGAGAAGAGGATTGTCATTGTTCCTCCACATTTGGGGCATGGTGAAAATGGTGGTAAGGCAACTTCTTAGCAAACATTTCAGATTATCATTCAGCTATACAAGCTAGCAGAAGAAATGTAAAAATAAATATTGGATCCTGAATCCCTTCCTGCCTTACTTCCGCCGTCTCTTCTAGATATAATTATTGGGAAAAAATCAGTCAGTGTGCATGTGAAAGGTGATACAGGTAGTCCTTGAGTTATGGTGGGAAGTCAGAAGATTATTAAATGAACCACTAACATTGGCAGAGCTAAGCCGAGCATCTAGCAAGAATTGGAAAACTTGGAGGATTTCTTCTCATCACTAGCACTGGTCTTAGTTCTTCCAGTTTTAGTTTCTCTAGCATTATACTAACAAACCTGAAGCTGGTAGAACCAAGTCATTTAATATTAATGAGAAACTAACACAAGTGAAGCTAATGCTGGTGGAACTAAGGCTATTATTTAGTGTTAGCAAGAAGCTAATGCTAGAGAACTAATGCTGGCAGAGCTAAGGCTAGCGTTAGTGAGGAAAAGAAAACCAAGAATATCACCAATGGTATTTTTCACTCAGAAAAAAGTAGTACATTTGTGGGATTATGCTAGATAGCTCAGCAACAGAATGGCCTTAAGAAATGATGCATTGATTCTATCAAGAGACTTAAATTCTTAGAAATGATTGTTGTAATCTCAAATATAATTTAAAGAAACTATTTATTAGAACAAATATTTCCCTTGCCTTTGACTCACAGCGTGACCTGACAAATGTGCAATAGACATATGCGCGCTGACAAATTAAAACACGATGTCAAAATCGCGCCCACAAATTCGCGACGTCAAAAGCGCGATGACAAGCACAATATAGGGTTAGGGTTGTTGATGATGCAATTTTGTCGGTGCGCATTTGTCGGCGCGCTATTGTCGAAAATTCATTAGCGATTTTGACGGCGCTCATTTGTCCATCGCGGGTTTGTCGGCGCGCATGTCTATCGCGCATTTGTCGGTGAACTGACTCTCAGAACTAATTTTCATGTCACACTAAGGCATAATGTATTATTTGGGCAGATTAAGTTTAGTATGCTGCATGAACACAAGATTTAGTGTGCTGTATGAGCACAGTATTATGCACATTGGTTTATTTAGTAAACCATGGTTAAGCTCACAATAGCCCAAAGTAATGTATGAACCGTCAGTTACTGCTGCCTATAGCACTTTTGTGCATGCCTGGAAACTATATTTCTGCATTATAGACAGCCCTCAATTTATGACCACAAATGAACCCAAAATTTCTGTTGCAAGGCATTAGTTAAGTGAATTTTGCCCCCATTCTGTGATCTTTTTGCCAGTTAACTGAATCACTGCAGTTATTAAAGTGAATCACATAGTTGTTAAGTGAATCCAGCTTCTCTTAGTGACTTTGCTAATTGGAAGTCAGCTGGAAAGGTTACAAATGGTAATCACATGACACTGGGACAATGCAACTATGATAGATACATGCCAGTTATCAAGTGTCCAAATTTTGATCACATGATCATGGATCTGATGCAAGTTGTATTAAAAACTGGTCATAAGTTATCTGGAAGTGAGAATCTTCATTGACACGGTCGTAAGTCACTTTTCCAGTGCTGTTGTAGCTTAAAATGTTCACTAAACAATAGGTTATAAATTGAGGACTACCTGTAGTGAGATGTTAATCTTTTTCTTTAAGCCCGGGGTGTACCTGGAAGTGCTGTTCTTCGCTTTGACTTAGAACTTTTACACTTGGAAGTTGGTGTTCCAGAAGGTTATTTGTTCATCTGGCATGGTGACCCACCACAAAATCTATTTGAAGCCATGGATCTGAATAAAAACGGTGAAGTCCCATCAGAAGAGGTGAGACTAAGCTCTGTTTCAGAAAGAAAGCATCTCATAAAGGATTCATAACTGAAATGATAATTAGATTGGTTCTTATTGCCTAGTCCATTGAATGCATATATTGACAAAAAAGAAAGAGGTCTAAAGAAAGCAACAAGATTTTTACTTCTAGAATATAAGTTGGGGCATTTCCTGATATGAGATGGAGCTTTTAAAATGTTATCTAGTTCCTATAAATATTTGACCTGAATTGTTATTAAACCTACATTGAGGGAAAATTTTATTAGGTCACTCAAGTCTGACTTAATATCTAATTAAACTGATTATTTCATCCTAGCTGCATTATTGCCAGAAAGAAATCACTTCATTTGAAATGCTGTACATACTGGGAACCCATTTGTAGAAATGATTGATCTATTATTGTCTTTTTTTCTATGTCCATTCTACAGTTCTCCACATTCATTAAGTCCCAGATTGCAGAAGACAAAGGTCATCTGATTCCAGGCATTGATCCAGAAAAAGTAATCACAGACATGTTTCAGAATCAAGACAGGAATAAGGATGGGAAGATCACATTAGAGGAATTGAAGCTTAAGTCAGATGAGGATCAAGTTAAACATGAGGAACTTTGAATTATAAAGAGTCCCTTTTTAAAAAATGCTCCCATTTGGTGGTCCTTTCCCTATTTATGGGAGCAAATTGGCCTCTAATCACTGCTATACTGGATATAGGAAGCCAGTAGTTTTTTTTCCTCATTTGGTTTTGCTTTGACTATATATTATTGGAAATGAGTTAAATGAGAAACAAAACCCAGTGGACTAAATGAATGATGATAAATCTCCCAATTCACTGGTTGCATATCCTTCCTGAAACATTCTTCCATCTCAATTGAATTATGTGTATAGCACATTGTCTTACCCAGAAATCATGACATTAAAACAAACATTCTGCTTGGGATCTGTGCATTCAGCTGTCCAAATCAGGGTTGAATTCACTATCAGAAAACCCAGACTGGCTTATTGGAACCAAATAAGCAGTATCAGAACTCTGTATTCACTAACTATTTTTAGGTTTTTAAGGGAAACACAACCCAAATTTCTTTTTGGTATAAATTAGAATAAGCAGACATTTTTTAAAAATAGATTCCTGCATGATGGTTAAAGGATTTAATTGGTTCAGTCTTATAATTTTATCTTTGAATTCTGCTGTTAAAGGACAGGGTTTGGATCAATACTAATCTTGAAAATCCAGTGTCTTGATCAGAAGGGCATGATCATAATTTACTTTCCTTAAACCAGCTTTGGTTGTATTTTTGCCTAATGGGGATCTATGATTAACTGATAAAATTAAAATCCTTTAACTGTTAAAATTCTTGAAGCAACCAGTCCACCATAAAAAACTGACTGGTAAAAATAATGTATTTTTATGGCAGGCAATTGGACTGTTAATATCAGTGACTTTGTTGGTCAAAAGGATGTTAGTCTTAATTTGATATCAGTTAGTTACTCAACCTCACTCCAACCCCCAGTACCGCTATATAATAAGTACTAATACGAAGGCTAAAGTAAGTTAGGAAAACCTGTGCACATCCATGTCTGAGATACTGAGGTACAGGTTTCAACTGAATCATTAAAATTCTCAAAAACAACATGCAATAATTTCTTTCAAGCAACAAGCAAAAGTACAGGGCACTTATAGTTATATTGACATGTTTTCTGAAGGACAGAACTCATAAGTCCTATTTGTAATGTTTGCACACAATATACAGATAGCTGCATTGACACTCACAAACAATTTCTCCAAGCTGGTGTCTTATAGAAATATATGGATTTCAGTTGTCATGCCTTTTTCTATCTGAGTAACTGATTTTCTCTCCTGCGCTTCAAGTTGTACATTAAGTCATTCAAGAAAGTCCTAACATAGCAGTCACTTGTTTTGAAAGCACTTAGGTCACCAATGGAGCAAATATTTATCATTACACAGAGGGTACAAAATTAAAATGTCTCTTGTGTTTCACCCACCTAAAAATAGTCTAGGGCCCATTATCTTTTACTGAAGAGAACATTCAGAAATGTACAGTATCTAGAATTATTTTGAATAAACCATAATGTTAAAGATTGAAATCAGTGAAATCATTACTAAGGTATGTGCCTTTGGACTAACATAAGTCTGAATAGTTTTTTTTTAAATTACAATTGTTTTTTTTTTTAATTGTAGCATGTTGCAGTCAATGGTGCTGTGGTAACTTAAAAATTGGATCAATTAAAAGAGATGAAACAAAATAAAATAGGCATACCAAAATGTTCAAAATAAGACATTTGTTTTATTATATTTACATGTCTTTTAAATAAAAAAAAATGTTGAAAAATTTGTGGGAAAGATGGATTTGGGCCATATATTGTTCAAAAACGTTTTGGAAAATTAATATTTCATGAAAGCAAGATACAGAACACCAGAAATTCAAAGGTTTGCATACAAATCAAACAAAAATCCTTAAGTTATGCATACATTTTAATTACCAGAGTTAAACTTATTTGTTATACATGTTAGTTTTCATTAGAAAAAGCTCAATAACTACTAGGGCCAATATGTATTAACCTTATTTTAAAGATAGTTTACATTATATCTGGAATCTAAATTCACTTACATATTCAATTTAGAACATGCCCAAATACATAGGATTCCAACAAAGTTACTCACCCAGAAAGTCCTTCAACCCACATTCCACAAGTCATTTGCATTAAAATAGCATCACCAATAATACCAAATTGTTTCCCACAGCAAGGTTATTTCAATAATTGCAATGTATCTTAAAGTGGGCTATACCATATTATTACTATTAATTTCTATTTAGGAGAAAAAAGGAAGTGATAATAGACAAGTCTAATCAATATCACTCCCATATTGTTCTTTTAAGAATATTTAAATAGTCAAATGAGTCTGATTTGACCAAGAAAAAATTGTCTGTTAAATTAGTAGATATCTTGGTACAATTGTGATGCCATTTTAATTAACAATATAGTAAAAGTAAAAATAAGATTAATGTTAGCTGGGCCCTATTCTATGATTATGGAAATTTAAAGAACACTGAGGGGAATATTGCAAAAGGAAACTAGTCAAGAGTTAAGGGCGTATACAGAGTTTGGGCAAGGATGAAGTGTAAAATACCATTTACCACATCCAATGTTTCATCTTTCTCCAATACAATATCATAAGCCTCAATGTATTTTTCCCGCCGTTCTTCCACCTGTATGGGATAAAGTATAAATACTTTATTAGTATTAATTTCAACAAACCTGCAGTCTATAGTTTCTCTAGATACTAATATTATGGCAGAACATTTTCTTTGTATGAAATGCCATGAGAAACCCAATATAAGTGACTAAAAATCCCACCTCAAAATTGAATTGGAAGAATTACTTCATGGTGCAAAACTAGCCTAATGTTTAAATTATCTTGTTTCTTCCCATCCCTCCTTTCTGTGGTAACAACTTGCTGATGAAAAGCTCTGAAGAACATGAAAGCTAGCTGACATGTGCCACTGTAGTCATTCTAATCAAAAATCACAACTCGATAATAAATCTAGCTACTTCTATTAATCTCTACTGCTAATAAAATATTTCAAGTCACCTCTTATTATCATCTAGTAGATAAAATTAAAGCTTAGAGACCTAGAGAAGATTGATGCTATTCCATCATTACACTATTGTCCTTTTAGGCAGAACCTATTTATTTGTAAGGTTGGAAAAGACTACAAGGCAGGAACAACATTAAGCACACAAGATAAAACAGCTCTTACTTTCTAGTGAAACTTGTCATACCCTCCCAAGCCAACCATCTTATATGGAACCCAAATTCTTCTACTTGAAATAGGTACCTTAGTTTACTTCCAGACAAGGCTTTCACCATCTGTTTTAGCCATCTAGATACTCTCAACTCACCCTATCATTAAGGAAGCCAATCCGGAGGATATTCTCCATGTCGGCAACACCATCTGCCATACTGAGGTCACCCATGGAATCTCCAAGCAATAAGATATTTGTTCTTGTGCACAGTTGCTGGAAATACTCTGTGTTCTTCAGGACTGTGTTGTTCTTGTTGTAGATGTGGATAAGAGGCTCTTTGAAACCTTGCAGAATGCCCTTTGAAGGCAAACATGATGGGTTTATAACACAAAAATGGCAAAATGCACCTTAGAAAACTTCTGCACACCCATAAGAGTATGGAATTTTGATATTGGAAAGATGATAAATAGAAGCTGACATAACTCTTTTAAGAATAATCTCCCAAATTATAAGATTAAACACCAGGCTTAGATTAAACTGAAGTTTCGTGTCCAAAATCCACTGCTTGAGAACACTTCTGGTGCTTTCAAAGCCTAAGCAGCAAAGGTTCTTTATTTTTTAAAAAATGGAATTTATTAATAATTCTCTTAAATTGAATTAAAGACATCCCTAAAGCAACCAGATCTATAGGAAGAAAATTAATTTTAACTAAAAGCTGAGAAAAAAAATCCAAGCTCTATCTCCATAAAACAGCATTCTTAACATATTTTAGAAATGGCTCTACTAAACATAGTTTGAACAACCTCAAGGATACTGAACTTGAAAAGAATATAACTCTGATGGCGAAACTATGGCACACATGACAGCAGTGACACACAGAGCCCTCTCTGTAGGCATGTGTGCCATCCCCCCAGCTCAGTCAGCTAGCCGTCAGGTTTCTGGCACTCTGGCACGCAGACGTGTGCCTTCCGGTTGGGCACTCTGTGCCTAAAAGGTTTGCCATCACTGGAATGTAATATACTTTTTGTGGATAGCAGTAGCATTTAGACTTACCATATATACCATGTCACAATGCTTTACAGTTCTCTCTAAGCTATTTACAGAGTAATCATATTGCCTCCAACAATCTGAGGTCTCATTTTACCAACCCTGGAAGGATGGAAGGGTGAGTCAAACTTGAGCCTGGTGGGATTCAAACTGCCAAATTGTAGGCAGCCAGCAGTAAGCAGAAGTAGCCTGTAGTACTGCATTCTAACCTTGCGCCACCATGGCTCTTATACAGGTAATCCTCAACTTATGACCACAATTGAGTTCAAAATTTGTTGCCAAGAGAGACAGTTGAGTTTTTCCCCATATTACAATCTTTCTTGCCACCGGTGTTAAGTCACTGCAGTTGCTAAGTTACCAAGTCTTTAAGTGAAAACTGATTTTCCTTTTTGCTTTGCTTAGCAAAAGGTTACAAAAGATGATCATGTGATACCGGGACACTGCAACCATGACAAATATGAGTCAGTTGCTAAGTGTCTTAATTTTGATTACATGACCATGGAGATGCTGCAATTGTTGCAAGTGTGAAAACTGGCATAAGTCACCTTTTTTTCCAGTGCTATAGTAACTTCAAACTGTTACTAAATGAACTGTTGTAAATTGATATATTCATAAATGTTCTGCTTTAGACAGCAAAGATTGAATATTTAAATATTTTCAAACTATAGACTTTTCTATTTCTATGTTCTACTTCTCCATGAAAATAAATAAACCAAGGTCCTTCAAACGGCAGGTGATCAGTCATATAAGCAAATGCTATTTCATACAAAAACTTCTCACACAGGAAAAGAACATGGAGAGAAAAGATGAATCAAATCCTTCCCATATCTTCTGATTTTCTATATAGAATATTTTAATATAGGAAAAGTCATAGCCTCTACAGCCAAAACAGCACAGCACATCCCAACTTTTATCACTTAAAAAAATTAGATCCAAGTGCCTAAGATATTTATTGTAACTGCAGTATTCAAAATTCTGTACATTGTGGCAATGCCTAGAAGTTTGTTATTTATTGGCTCGGGACACCACCTCTGATTCTATAGGAAGCATTTTGAAGATACTTCCATCAGGGTAAAATAGCAGAATCCTTGGAATGCTTTCAGATCAGAGGAGTTGAAGAGGGCAAAAAGAGATGATTCAACTCACATTGTCATCAAAGTCCATATAATTGGAGACCACATTGATGTTAGGGTGGAATACACCGGCCTGATGAATTATTTCCTCTAGCACATCACCTACACCTGCTGAAAAGATGAACAGGGGGACTTTGTTCTCATGCAGCTGGTCAAAGAAAATGTTGAAGCCATCTCTAAGTGCAAGAAAAGAAAGACAACATTAGGCTAATGTTGTGAAATATGGGCATTTATAACTAAACGGCATTGGCAAAGTCCCAATGTTTCTAATAGATTAGCTTAAAAGGGCAATGATTTCCTGAAGAACACAAGTACTGACAGAAAAAAAATGTCCTTTTTATATTATCAACAGTAAACAGTGAACTTGTCCATTCACTTATCAGTTTCTTGGAACAAATAAGGATTGCAGATAAAAAAAGACAAAAGCTTTTGACTGTTAGCTAAACATTAAAACAGGATGTGATTTTCTAAAATATATAAAATCGTCAAATCTGTATTTATAAAAGGAAAGCTTTCAAGATAGTACACGTGTGCTTAATTGCAATAGTTCCAGTAAATAAATTGATTGGTTAGTATGGAATGTCAAATTTATAATTTAAATATATTATTTAAACGTACGCTTTGGATGGATGATTTAAACAATGGCTTAAAGTTCTATCAAATGAAAACCCATGTACATAAACATCAGGTGGTAGCAAATCCTTTTCTTAACATGTGAGTTCATGCTGGGTAGGAAATCTTACAGTAGATTCGTGATGGCGAACCTATGGCATGCATGCCACAGGTGGCACATGGAGCCATTTCTCAGGGCATTGCCTCAGCTGGCCAGCGCACGTGCACTGGCCAGCTGACTTCGGCCTTTTTTTGAGGCCGTTTTTCACCCTCCAGAGGCTTCCCTGAAGTCACCAAAGTGTAAAATACCGGCCCCACAGGCAAACCGGAAATTTGGGAATGGACTTCTGGTTTGCTTGCAGGACCGTTTTTTGCCCTCTGGAGCTTTCAGGGAAGCCTCCTGAAGGCCTCTGAAGGCTCTGGAGGTCGAAAACCGGCCCTACGGACAAACTGGAAGTCATTCTTCCCGAATTTCCGGGTTCCCCGTAGGTCCATTTTTTGCCGTCGGAAGGCTTCAGGAAAGCTCCCAAGGCCTCCAGAGGGAAT